TGTGTGTGTGTGTGTGTGTCTAGAAAGTATCAGTATTATACCGAATGTAACTCACAAATGGGCACTTTTTAAGAACAAGCACTATTTGATATTTGTGAAAACAGTAAACTCTCACACAGACGCATGCCATTGATGGAGGAGTCATCTTCGCGGTATTAATATGGTTCATTTGACTGATTACTAAAGACTATCCGAAGGCTTATAATTTAAAATACTATGTATCTGTTTGATATGTGTCATTTACAGCAGCGGAGAAGAACCTACCACATTAACTTTCCTCCAGAAGCCTTGTGTCTTTGAGCATGTGACACTCTGGTCTCACTGTGCAACACATACAGTAAAACAAGTGGAACACGGGACTTTCAGACAGTACGCTGTCAACATGACGACATGATGGTCCTCATTGTGACTTTATTTCTTAAATCTTGGTTCCGGTCAATAAGATGAGCCATTGATTGGTTTCACATAATTGTTAAACTGATACCAGAATGTTGTCAGTTATTTTCTAAGGCAGATATCCATTTTTAAATAATGGCTGGTTTTGGAGCTTAAATTACATGTCATTAATATTTTAAAAACAAATGTTTTGGGGTTTTTTCCATTACCAGCATTAAAATTTTATATCAGTGTCAAATTTCAGGATTCCACCCAGATTCTTCAGAGACACCGTTTGATTCTCTCGTTGGACAGACGCTTGTGTGTTGATACTATGTTGTACAGTGTAAGTTATCATTTGTTCTGATTGTTGCTTTTGGCAGTAAATGTTGACTGATGTTTGACCTTTGTGAATTTTTTACACCACAGACACAGTTTGTCAGGGATGCTGCATGGAGAGCTGTTAATGTGGCTGCTTTTGTATCACTTGGTCAATGGTAAATTACACTAAAGAACCCTTGTGACATCTTCATTTGTTTTCCACTGTGTAGTTAAATATCACATTCTAAAATTGGCCATAAACAATGGCCATGTTTAATTTTATCCAGCATTCATCGATGTAACATCTATCTAGTTTACTTGTTTAATACTCAATTTGACAAGAATTCTGATGATACAAGCAGGTTTAGTTTCTTCTTACCCTGAGAACCCCTGATCCAAAATGTTCATTCAGGCGGATGTGTGGGGATGCATGAACGTCTCTGAACAAACGGGTTAGTTGTTTGCAGTTAAACTTGATATTTCAAGTTCACCCAAGATTTTACTTAAATGAGCTGAGGTAACAAAAACCTCAGGTCTCCGATAGTGGCTGTCCCACAGTGATTCGAACTTACAACACTTTCAGTGTCAACTCTCCCACTCTTGGTTGTACTGTAAATTATGTCTGTGATTGAAGTGAAGACACCTAGAGCGTCTTAGCCTCTCGCTAGTGTCCCTGTAAACTGTCAGGAATGCAATTCATAATTAAAGTCGGTGGTTATGTGTAGTCTCTGATATCCACACAAAGAAAGAGGAGGTTTTCGTACAAAAGAACACTAAGCTGCACTTGCAGGTGGATCTTTGCTTCACCCTGAGTCAGTCTTCTCTGGTGCTCCATCCGTCTTCTTCAGTTCATGTAGAAAGACTCCTCGGTGCAGCCACACCTGACTCATGTCCTAAATGTTGTTAATCGTCTTTGGCAGCTTCTTGAGATTCTGGATGATACAAGAATGATGCATCTGGTGGGACAGTGACACTAAACGTGAAATGTGCAACAAATACAAAGACCAAAGGGAGGTGAGACACCTTGTAAACTTTTAGAGTCTGTAAATTTAGCACTTAAGTTATAGTTTATTATGAAATTTAAACGTTCTGTGGCCAATAACAAATAAATCTAAAGTTCATGTTGTACATATCTTTTTCTGGTGTTTTTAATGTTTCTATACTGTTCTTTATTTTTAAATGTATGTTTATGCACAAACATACCACAGCAAATATATTGCACATGTTAACCTACTAGCAATAAACCCCCGATTCAGATTCAGATCCTAAATGAGAAGAATAAAGAAAATCCAACGCTTTTATGGAATCCATGTTACATGTGGACAAACTGTACAAGTCATCAGGAACAGAACCATTCAGTGCTGAGAAAAACAATGAGCACTTGAAATATATATGTAAGTGATAATGGAGGGCGCAGCAGAGAGGCGAGCGGCTCATTTCCCAGGATCGATGGTGTGTTCAGATGAGTGTGAGGCGGCGATCCGCTCTGGCTGCTACTTCAGCTTCCTGCCCCCCCCCCCCGGGACTATCACATCTCTGCTGACTGCACGTATGAAACAACACATGAGCCTGTTCTTATAAAAACACAAACAAAATATGATGGAAGAGTACATAAACACACAGGAGAGAAGGAGTTATTAAAGAAGAACACATCATAACAGACCTGTAACCTCAGCTGATATTATCCAGGGAAACAACATATGATGAAATTCTGTGAAATATACCAGCACCATCTGATCGTGTCACTCCGAAAGATATGAAGAGATGATGGAAAGGAATCAAAGAAATGGAGGTAGAGATGTTTGTGTTTTCTCTGCAGTGGTTTCTTCCATATATTACCTCTTTCATTATGTGTATATTATATTGTATATTATCTAGAGGAGGCCCTCATTTAAAACTAGTCACTACAGTACTCAGCCAGTAACTGCATCCCCTCAGATTTACCCTACGTTTGCAATGTTGGCAGAACTGGCTTCTGTTATTCTACACATGACAACTACAGTTCCACATCCCCCCTGGTGATTTTTTAATTATTGGTTTTCTGATGTTGTTCACGATTCACGCAATTGTTCTAATTAGGTCGTGTGTTGTGTTGTATTTATTTGCTGATTGGAAATGTCTCCTGTTCTCAACAGTCTCTGAGGCTGCCTGATTAAATAATTCAACTAAGAATTCTTTCTTAGGTCACACTGGTTTTAGTATGAATATGTTCATGACGTAAATGAACTAAGTGTATGCTACATGCTCTGCTACACTGACTGGTGTCCACATTATGAAGCACCGTGTGACATTTGGATGCATCGTGCAGTCCTCAAGTAATTTCCTGTGGTGAGTCAGTCAGTGTGAGTTGTGAAGGGGGTGGGGGAGCAACGGACGAAGCAACAGACTCAAGTGTTGTTCAGTCTATCGTAGATAATGTGGACAATGTCACAACATGAATACAAACATTTTTATTCCCACCTTCATTTCCCCACATTGATGTTTGATGGCACATGCAGAGTGGCATTCATTCCAGTGTCTGAATCCAAGTCACCAAAGAAGAGTGCGACTGGAGTCCATGTCATCCAGGTTGACTTTGATATAAAATCCATGAGGTGCATGATTCAGGTTTCTCTCAGTGCATCTTTCTACTACCTGTGCTGCATGTAGGCTGGTGAATGCACAAGTCTGCCCTTTTATGATAATGAATAATGCTACAGTATTAATATAGCCATCAATATCAAATCATCAGGGTCTATTACAAAGGAACACTCATTAGGAGTCCATACTTCCACCAAGGCCCAACAGTCGTTAGAATCAAACAAGCTGCACCAAACTGCACATACTCATAAATCCATGAATTATTCTCTGGGGACACAGCGAAAATGTCAAAGAATGCCTTGTCCCACAAAGTTCTAACAGTCCATGTCTGATGGGGGAGTTAGCTCAGACGTTAACCGAACACTCAGGCACACAGGTGTTGGAGTTTCCACGTGTTTGTCCTTCAGCCCATCCAGCTAATCTTTTTATAAGTGAACAAAATGAAGGACACGTGTATTCAAAACTTGCGAGACAAAAGTACAACAGACACTCAGAGACATGTGTCTGGTCCGTGGGCAGTGCAACACTCAACCAACCTGAGAGGCACATGGTGCCACCAGATGAGGCTGCTGTTGTATCTAGGCAACACAGTATGTTTTAAAGGAGCGTTCCACGATTTTTACTGTTACAAGGAGAAAAGGATTTTATTGATCTACATCAAAATTGAATGGGATTTTTTCTCGACCTACACTGAATCCTTCCACGTTCTGTTGGTTTATTCTGAACCTTGCAAACACAGCAACCAACAGAAAGGGGAGAATACATAACCTCCTTGGCAGAGGTAAAAACAAAACAATAGAAAGTCTGAGTCTCAAACTTCTGACATTGAATGTTTGTCCAAATCGAACCCTGTTGAGCTCTTCATCACATCTCTGCCTCAGGAGAGCACATGAAGCGTCTTCTTCAGAGCTCCTCTGTGTTGGCTCATAATTTACAGTTCATCGATCTGCCAGAGCAACATCCTCAACACCCTCTGTAACACACTCAAGAAATCAATCTACTACTGTGTGTAGCGTGTTGTGCACACATATGTATTCAGTCATGGTTTCCTCAGTGGGCTGGAGAACATGGAATAAACCAATCCATAATATGTGAAGATCAGATCCACTGGTGATCAGATCTGGAAAGCAAACTGGATCCTCTGCTGTGGAAGGGAGAAGTCTGTAGAGTGTTTCTCTGAAGACTGGAATGAGCAGGCATGTCTCCCTGGAGCAGTGACAAGCATTCTTTCAAATGAGTCGAGTGACAACTGACGGGAGGTGAGAATCAGCCACAGACAGACAGAGCGGAGGAGGAAGATAAGATCACACCCTGTTCATCTGTACATCTGCCCCCAACCCTCTGTTTTTTTTCACAGCATATCTTTCACATGACCTTTCCAGGGTGACAGAAATAATCAACACTGCAGTTCTGACCTTTGACCTTGACCATACAGAATAGAAAGGTGCTGTACCCACAAATCATATTTATTCTCTTTGTGGCATTTACTGTACACTTCAGCAGCATGAGGACTTTAGGCACATGTATATTTTATTTTTCTATAACACTGACTGTGTTAGATTAGATTTTCTGTTTACATGATGATAGCAGTTAATATATCCAGCCTGTCCACCACAGCTCATCATCCTCTTTCTCTTAGCTTGGCCACTCACTGTGTAGTTTTGGTTGTACTCAGTATTCACATCCCCTGCCTCATGGCACTGCAAAAAAACAAAAAACATCATGTATTTGATTATGTAAAGTCAAAGACTCCAGGGCCAAACCGCTCCACACGAAGGAGAATCTCAAAGAGCCTTTCTGTCAGGGAACCATCCACACTGGTGCACACTCATGCATGTGCACAGTATGGATATGAATTATATTAGTAGTTGCTCGCTCTTCTGACATTCACAGTTCAAGATGAACATGGACTGAGGGGTGGAGTGTAATGGGAGATCATTTTAAGTGTTTGTTAGATTAGGTCTGCTCCTGCTACAGAAACATGTATGATGTGTTTAAGAACAGATCTGAGATTAGGTCTGCTCAGGTTCAGTTACTGTTTGAGCGGCCTTCACAGTAATGATTGAATTTAAAAGAGGTGAGGTAAACTGATGCATTAAACAGAGAGAGAAGACAGAGATGGCAGCACATGTTTAACCACATAGCTTCTAGAATGCCATCCACCGTCAGTGGGTCTCTTTGTATATGTGTGTGTCAGGTATTACTCATGTACAGTAAATCTGTTTAAAGGTCCAGTGTGTAAGATTTAGGTGAAAGGGAACTATTGGCAGAAATTTATGTAGAATAATCCTCATGATGTTTTCACTAGTTCGTTTCATCTAAATCGTATGAATTGTAGTTTTCTTTACCCCAGAAAAGGCCCTTTATATTTAAATACTTTACATTTACATCGAGGGGACCTTCTCTACGGAGGCCGCCATGTTTTTTACATTAGTCCAGACTGGAGAAACTAAACACCTTTTGAGTTTTTATGACAACTGAAGCTACCACAGGTTCTTTTTCATGTTTGGAAGGAGAGGGTGAGGTGAGGGGTGTTCAGCTGCAACATGCAATTTTAACACTAGATATCACAACATTCTACACACTGAACCTTTAAATGGTCACATTGTGGGGCAAAGAGCAATAAAAGACATCATCAGCCACCAGTGTTTATCAAATTATACATGCAGAACTTCAGAGGGTCTGAAAGGTCATGTGTGTGGTGAGGATGAGGAGGAGAACATGAAGGAGGACTGAGTCTGTGTCTCTCTTTGTCTTCATCTCAGTTTCTCATGTAGAACACCATTTGTTAAGTGTCTTTAATAAAATCTGACATTTGCACAAACACAAATTTTCTCATTTGTTGAATTCATTTCAAACTTTTATTTTATGTTTCACCACTTTCCAGAGTGAACATGACTTTAGACTTAAGTTGCACGGATGAAAATCCTGTCAGTAACCGGTGAGCTGAGGAAACTGGCTGAGCTGGAGCCAGCAGGAGCCATCATGGCTCTGAAGCTGCTGCCCCACTGATTATCCCTCCGCCGCCTCTGACGTCAGAGGGCGCGGCCATTTTATGAGCGCCATCAAACACACACAACGAGACAGGAAGTTGGACGACTCGACCGCAAAAATAAAAGCGACGCTCCCCATAAAAAGAAATTAGAAGACGTATAAGAAGAGAGTAGTTATTTGTTATCCTCCATGACACGACACTGAAGATAGGTCTATCTGCAGAGAATTTATCTAAATCTATAACATAACCTTTATTATTGTCTGCTTGATATCAAATGACTTATTATTAAATAACTATTAATCTTGTGTAAGTCTGTGTAGTCATCACGTTAACCAGAACAGGGGGTGGAACTGTGAGGGGGTTGTTGTTGTTTAGGGGACAGTTAAGAGAGAGCGAACATGGCTGTACTATACTTATATTTTGGTATTCTGGTAGTTTTTTTTTTTGACATTCTGAATGTATTAATGTGTAGTTTGGATGTATTGATGTTTAGTTTGGATGTATTAATATGTAGTTTGGATGTAATGATGTGTAGTTTGGATGTATTAATATGTAGTTTGGATGTAATGATGTGTAGTTTGGATGTATTGATGCTTAGTTTGGATGTATTGATGCTTAGTTTGGATGTATTGATGTGTAGTTTGGATGTATTGATGTGTACTTTCAATGTATTAATGTGTGAAGAGGTCGTGTTAAGACCGCATCTGTGTAGGTAGCTGCTAAATTACATTTGGGTATCAGTTTCTGACTTCATTAGCATTAGCAGCCTCTGTTACAGATAGAGCCAGAGAGCGTTTGAGGACACAACATGTCATGGAGACAGTGTTCTTCTGAACACCATCTGTCCTGCAGCTGAGGACACAGAGTCTCTGTACGTGTTGACATTTAAAGTGAGTTTTTATTTTGTTAAACATGAACAGGAAGTGTACGGTCTGTAAATCCGTCCGGTTTGACTCCTGGTTGTGAGGAGAACGGTGCGTTTCCACCGGGGGGGTGGGGGGGGGCAGTCCCATTAACGGCAGGACGGACACACGCTTCACCGAAACACATCAAGTACAGTAGAGAGAAAGAGGAGGAGAAGAGCGGAAGACGCTTGAAGACGCTTGAAGAAGGTAGGTCCCACTAACTTTATACATCCATTGTTTGTTTTCTCACTTCCTGTTTAAATCAGAACATCAATTAAACTTCGATTTTTTTCCTCAAAACACGAGACTGTAAAACCCAAATCTCTCTGATGGTTTACCACCAGGTTATTTGTTGCTGTCTCGCGCAGGGTTTCTAACACAGCTGCTGTGTGTTACTGCCGTGGTACTTGTTTGTGTTCTTTGTAGCACTGATTAGTTCTAGGTTTATATCACAGGAAGTCGTTCTCTGTGTTCAGATTCTCTGTAACTTCTAGTTGCGGTGTGTTTCGAGCAGCCACGGACACTGAGGCTGTTTGTATGTCAGTTTGCGTCTTAAATGAATTAGAGGATTAAGGTAGTTGTTTGTTGTAAGGATTAAATTAAAGGGTGGTGCAGCCTCTGCCTCTCAGGTTGGTTGTGTCGCGGTTAATTAGCTCGTAGCACAGTGAGTCGAGTTCAGCACCGCGGACAGCTCCGGCACAAACTCCTACACACACACACACACACACACACACACACACACACACACACACACAGTGCTTTGTCTTAGATTAAAAAATACTTAATTAAACAAATATAGAGATCCACTGGTTTTTATGTGGGTGTGAATGAGGCAGCTCTCTCCAGGAAAAGGACAAGTTGATCATGGAGACAAGTGACACTATTGTTTGTGTGGTGTCTTAGTTTTGACTAAATTACTAGACATGGTCACAGAGTTACTGAGGAAGAGGAGGCTTATCACTTATGACTTCCTGTTTCCAAACTCAATCAATCAATCAATTAATCAATCAACCAATCAATCAGTCAATTCAAGCTTTCTATCTACCTATACATCTGTACATCTCTTTATTTGCAGGTCTATCTATTTCTATTTTCTATGTCTGTATGATAAGGCTCAGTGATATAAGCTCTCAGGTCAAAGGTCTCAGTGCTGTTGTTGTTTGGTTTGAGGACATCAAGAGTCTGAAATCAGTTTTGTTCCTGTGTCTCCAGTGGAGACAAAGCATCATTTCACATAATGTTCTCAGGCAGTTCAACCTGTAAAGTATTGTAACTGCATCAGTACGTGTGAACTCATGCACTTGTGAAGTTGTGTACAAGATTTGAATGTCAGATGTACCGACATCATATTGAGGTCTAATGTGGTGCAGTGATTTTAGTAAATAGTGAGAATGAGTAGCATTCGATTCCAGAAAAAGGATCTTATACAAACTTTGGCCCTCTCAGCTTCCTGTCCTGTCTCTGTAGCTTGTTTAATGTCAGGGAGGACAAAGAGCTCAAGCCGACTGTTAAGCAGATCAGCACGCGGGTGTGTTTGTGTGTTAGTGTTGTCTTTTTGACTCTGTCGTTGGCAGTCTGGTGCTGTTTGTAATGAGGAGTAAACAAAACGATTCAATTAAGGCAGGAAATGAGCACAAAGCATAATCAAAACACATCCAACCTCCCGTGATTTATATGCATTTCCCTGCTGGGATGCTGGATTTCAGTGGTGAAGTAGCTGGAAACCAAAACCTCAGTGTTAAATCAGGGTGTTTTTGTAAAACCCTTGACTGTAGATAACATTATTCTGCTCTAACAGGCACCTTGAAAGAGCAGACACTGTTTTTTTTGGTGGAAAGATGATGTGAGCTGTGAGTTCACGATTCTCTAGAGATGAAAGACGGGGGGCGCACAAAAAATCTGTTTCATGGTGAGAAAATGGTTTCGGCATGAAATGCTTCAACTGTGCCCGTCACTCACTGTGAGAAATAACCACCAGCCTCCAGCTACATCATCTGTTGAAAACACACATAGAGTCTGAGTTACACGCTTTCCTCTTGTCCCCTTAAAACCACCTTCACACAGTTTCATTTATTTGCCTTGTTACTTTTTCTTCCACTTGCGCTTGTTGAAATTCAGTGTCATCAGCTATAAACATGATGTATCTGATGTCTAAGAATGCATAGTTTCAGCAGATTGCATTCACGGTCATTTCTTTTATACAGATTTGTTTTGGATCTGGGCTCCATTAAAACATATTAATGCTCCGATGTTGTACATCATTGTCAACATCAGCTTGTTATAACTGTCACTGTCAGTTTTAGTCTTTTTCTTTGAGGGGGAGATGTTTTTAAAAGCGCTGCAGGATGTTTTGGTCTCACCCACACGGTGTGTATTAGGGGTTGAGTCATTTGTGCACAGAGGTGCGTGCTCCAGTCATGTAACTTTAAACTTGATGAAAACAAAGGAGCTGCTGCTGATTTAACCAGCAGTGACTTGTGACTTCATATTCTCCCCAAGCCTGATGATGAAAAGGTGAAGTTATACAAAACTGTGCTGCAAATCTGTTCTCAACTCAGCAGCAGCCAGTCACGTTGAACAACAGGGGGGAGGTTGCTTTGCTTGTGTACGCCAGCGCACAGGAAAATAAGGATTCTTTTATGATTTTAGCCTCGACTCAGGACTTCATAGCTCTGACCTGAGACTTACTAGTGCCTCGTAAAACATCGTCCCTGAAACCTCCATCTACTGTAGCTTAAAGGTCCTCTGTGGAGGGTTGGACCACTAGAAGCTCTACGGAGCAACGTTTCTAAGAGGTTCTCCTCATTTTGTTTGTAACTCGCACCTGCATGAGGACGCATATGCACACTCACAGCCATGTGGGTGACGATACACACATTTCTGCTGCTGGTTTGCACGCTACGCAGCTGATTTACTTTGACAGTATAGTGTCAACAAATACAGCAGTGCCTCTTTTGGTACTCACAGCTGAGAGGGCAGAGAATCATTATTTAGAGGGCTGTGAACAGACAACTACTGTTTCCCTTCAGGAACACACACACACACAAATAGACACACACTCTGTATTATAATCCTGATGCTCTATTGACGAAGCACAACATTTCAGTCGTTTGAATTGAGATGTGCCTCTCTGATCAGATCTGTGGTAACCTGATTTCTATGTCCGCTACACTCTGTACAGATGCTCAGCTCATAAACCCTGTAAATAAATATTATAAATATCCGTCAAAAAAATAGGTTGTGGAAATACATCTTTGAGATCCTTGGCAGCCTTTTATTTGCTTGATATTATGAGTGTGTTGTGCATATTCTGCAGCAGGAGAAATCTTTTTTGCAAGCATGTCCTCATCCTATATATCAGATATATGTACAGCCCAGAGAATGAGTTTATGTTTCTGTATATAACTACCTGTATCTTTTTTTATCATGTTCTGTGCTATACGTGCCTGTCACCGCAATGTGTGTGTGAGTGTATAAATGAACAGCGTGTACAGCGCGGCGTGGTGACAGGTGTCCATTTGAATGTGTTCATGTGGGAGGAGAGTGGAAGAGAAATGGAGGAGAGGAGGGAATGTTGGATAGTGTGTGTGCGTGTGTGTATTTGTGTGTAATCTAGGTTTTGTGTGTGTTAGTGAGAGCAGAAGCGAGAGAGAGCGGCAGTGAATGCAAGAGCAAGAAAAGGGAAAGCATGTATGAGGGAGGGAAAGTAAAAGAGAGGGAGAGTGGTCCACATGTTATGTAAGTCTTGTGAGGCATCTCTGTGTGTGTGTGTTTGTGTGTGTGTGTGTGTGTGTGTGTGTGTGTATTCTGTAGGCCTTCAGATTAATCCAGCAGGTTTTATCCTCAGTGAATGGGACAGTGGGGCTTTGCAGTGATTATCCCTGCAGGCCACAGATGATTGCTTTGAATCTCCTGTATACGTCCCACACTACCTCACTTCCCAGCCTGCATATCTGTCTGCCTGCACATCGCTCTGCCCTCCTGGTTTATTTAGATCATGTTGAATATTAGACCTTCATTCATTCCACTGTCTGTAGGTGGCTGCAGATGCTAATGCACAAAATATGTGGTAATTCTCCTCCTGAAACAGGCCCAAACTGTTTCAGAAGCTGTTGAGGGTGTGTTCAAAGTGCATCTTCTTTCCTCTGTGACCCACCTCTGCACATCTCCATCTTCCCGTCCATCCGTTCCTCCAGATTATCTCAGTCCTTAGTCTTCCGCTGTAGCTTTTTTTCTGTCTGTCTGCCCTCTTTTAGATTATATAACGAGGAAATGTCAGAAAATGCAATCTGCTCCATCATCCCCCGCTCAGCCAAGACAACCTTCCCCCTCCGTTTGTTTTGGTCTTGAAATCCTCTGTCATGGTGAAGGTGGCATCTTGAGTGGTACTCTTTTTTACACTTGCTGCGTGGTAATCACGTTGTTACCTTGTACCCTTTTGTTAAATATGCCCATTATTTTAGCATTTTGCAAAATGGCTCAAATAGCATGCTCAGGCATTTATCCTGTAGATTCCCTGAGTCTCCACAGCAGATTCCTCCCTGTGTGTCCCTCCTGTCTCTCCATAGGGAAGGTTTAATTCAGTGAGGCCATATGGTCACGGTGGGCGTTGCTCAGGGCAGAAAACCTGCTCCGTATGAGTTGTTTTTTTTCTACCTTGTTCCTTTCACATTCAGCCACTGTGATCAACCTGGATGAACAGACTCTATTATAAAGATTGACATGCATCCACTTCTTTACACTAATTTGGAAATTATCATTACATTACGTTTGAACATGTTTATTGTTTCACATTTAGAACAATCCTAATACATCATGCATATAATGCTTCTCTTGCAGCCACTGTGGTTAAATATTCCAGTTTTATTGTTCACATTTCTTTACTTTAAATGCTTTAGTATGAATATTGAATTAGTATTGTGACTGACTACTTCTACTGTAGATACAGAGAATACAGATGATATTATCGGCCCTATTATTTCACTGTTTCACTGTCTGGATTTGAAGCTGTTGTGAGGAGGAATGTGAGGAAATAGTGATTTTATGCACCCATAGTTATTCTTTACAGCATTCATGACGATGGCAAACTCACAGTCAAATGACTGTAGGCTCTTATTTTGTGTCAGTGCAAATCAAAAAGACGAACTTTACATTTTGTTTGGGGCAGTGGACAATTATTTTTTCTGTTACTGTATATTTTTCAAAGA